GTGTATATTAATACACCTTAGATACTGCACGTTTAGTTTAGTACTTGCTTAATAAAGTACTAACTAAATGCGCAGTAACTAGAGTTATTAACACAATGCAGTAAGCTATTAGCATGGCTTTTAACCACCACACTACTGCTCAGTGTTATTGGGCTAACATGCAGTAAGCATCCACTGTTAATCATTCCAGTATCATAAAGGTCTTGCCTGACAAGAAATAAAATCTGCTCCAAAAAAATCATGACATCTATCATTTAGAAGGCACTAATCTGTGAGTCCCAAACCAGATTCTTTCATGTAGGATATCTGTGGGTCAACATCCTGATTTATGTGGTTTGTACTTCTCATCTGAAAAGAACCAAGCATATACTGGTATATGACTATTATGTAGAAATTAAAGAAATCATATGATTAAATCTCTTTTCCATGGATTTAAAAGTGTCTCTTTATAGAAGGACTGGTATGAAAACTAAAAATAACAGCCAAATCTTACAATTGCCATAGTCACTTTCCACTTACCAAAAATGTAAAAATATTAGGCAACCGGATACCACTTTGCTCATAAAAATATAGAAGTCTTATTCATAAGATTATCTAACTGCATAAATCAGGCAGAAGAATTGTTGTCTAAATCAATTCAAATTCAAGAGACTACTACAGGCCCTGAGTTGGCAAATTATATACATGATCAAGCGCTTAAGTCCATACCTGCTTGGCATCAGTCAGTCCACATGTGCTTAAAGTTAAGCATATGCTGACATGCCATAGCAAATCTATTACTGTTGTGCCAACATAATAGTAAAGATTGCATTAGACAAATGTGTTATTAATTCTTTATAATGAATGCTTTTCTTAATAACACAAAGTCCTTGTGTCAACAGTCTTAGAAGCTTGATTAATACAAAGAGCATCTGTGCAAGCATATGAAAGTGAGGAGACATCATCAGTAAAGAGACAGAAGGGTGGGCAAAAGGAGTTGTATATAAATTGGCACCCTAGAGGCACGTCTACACATCCAATCAATTTGAAGCAATAAACTCCAGTGCTTATTGCACTTCTAATTTATTGTTCCTGGGTGCACTATTTGAATGTGCACCCAGGACTGTAGCATGTTGAGCTGTGTCAGAGCAACTCTGGCTGGGAAGGCACCCAGGGAGTCAGCTTGCCAGCCTGGGACTGCTCCGACCCAGCTCCACATGCTGCAGAGGAGTAGGTTGGGCACGCAAGTGTGGGGCTAGCTAGCAGACAGGCCCTACACTGAAGCATCCATGTCAGTATCTACACATGTGGTGCTGCAGAGTTTTTTTTGTATTTACAAATACTATTCTTCTGCAGAGTTTACAAGAACATATTTACAAGAACTATAATGCTGCACAGTTTATTAGTTTACTCGAGCCTAATAGCCCTGCAAATGTAGACACTGAGATGTTTACTGTGGAGCTAATTAGGCAAGTCCAAGGTAGAGAGCTTAGGAGGGAAAGAGGGCAAGGCAAAAAGAATGAGGGATACAGTTTAAATTGAGACCAATTATCTCATTGTACAGAACCCTAAAGATAAATACAAGGAACTGGAACTGTGTGAAAGGAGGGAAAAAAAGCATTTCAGGAGATGATGGCTCAAAGCCATGAGACAGGATGGTGATTTCAAAGCAACCCATTCAGTAGCCTGAAGCAGGAAATGACAACGGCTAGAACGCCATGGAGGAGAAAGTTACTGGACATATCAGATCTCCAGGGCAGGACCTATGATTTTAACAATTGAGATTCTCGGCCATAGATTTTAAGAGCGCAAACTTCAGCAAGCTAAGCAGGATAGTTGGAGAAGCGCTGAGGTCCCAGAGGGGAGGGGAGCCAGGTGTCCAAGAAGAGTGGTCGCTCCTTAAGGAGACGATCCTCCAAGCCCAAAGGAAGGTAATCCCAACAAGGATCAAAGGGAGCAGGAGAGCACACAAGCCTCCATGGCTCACCAAAAGCATCCAGGAATGTCTCCTTGCTAAAAAGGAGGCTTACACCCAATGGAAAAAAGGGGTCATCACCAGGGAGGACTATTCTGCAGTTGCTCAGGGATGTAGGGGGGTAGTTAGGAAGGCCAAGGCAGAGATGGAACTGGGACTAGCTTCCCAATAAGAAGTCCTTTTTTAAATACATAGGGGGTAAAAAGAAGGTCCTGGGTAATGTGGGGCCCTTGCAGGACGCGTTGGGAAATTTGGTCGTCACACCAGTCGGCAAAGCTAACATGTTTAACAATTTCTTTGCCTCCGTCTTCCTAAGTAGGGACCAGAACAGCCACCTCCCTGCTGGGCCCTCCTCGGGCCCCGGGGCAGGCACACCTGGGCCAAGGGTTAGCGAAGATTTAGTTAGGGAGCTTCTGGAGGGGCTGGACATACTCAAGTCAGCCGGTCTGGATGATCTCCACCCTAGAGTTCTAAAGGAATTGGCCGAGGTCATTGCAGAACCCCTGGCACGGCTTTACGAGCACTCGTGGTGCTCTGGAGAGGTACCGGAGGACTGGAAGAGGGCCAATGTGGTTCCCATCTTCAAAAAAGGGAGGAAGGAGGACCCAGGAAACTATAGGCCAGTTAGTCTTACCTCGATCCTAGGCAAGCTGTTCGAGAAAATTATTCTGGCACACATCCAGGAGGGGCCAGCAGGGGACTGCATGCTTAGGGTCAACCAACATGGGTTCATCAGTGGCAGGT